AAGGGTCATATGATGTTGCTAAAAAGAACATTATTTGGTGTAATGCAATGTGTTTATGCGGTTTAAGGTTCAAAAAACACATTATTTTCCACATACTGTACATTATTGTTTCTCCTCTACGCCCCGCTTTTCTGAAACGCGTCGATTTTTACAAAGTCATATTGTGCGATTGGCCAGCTATCCAGTGCGTTGTGATTGGCCGAATACCTCAAGCGTGTGACAGAAATGTTACGCCCCTTAACATACTGTGATGCCGTATCCCGGCCGGAGCGACGAGATAAAAACATTAAAACCCATTATAAACGAGGCATTTGTTGCATCCAGTGGGGACATAATTATGGATTATAATGACTTATACTGTCTTTTTACGTGTTGCGTTGCATCGCGCCGCGTAAACATAAAACCATGTCTGCATTTGTGATCGGAGAAATGACAAACAACAAGCGCTAATCTACACTGCTCAAAACTCGCGTTTGCATCATCAGTGGCAAATCCTTTAAGGTCCCACTTTATATTAAGTGGCCTTAACTACTATGTACTTAGATCAAAAAATTTGTGAATTAGAAAACACTTTTGCTGCTATTGAGGTGGGATACAGGTAAGGTTAGGGACAGGTTTGGTAATATGGGTAGGTTTAAGGATGGGTTAAGGTGTAAGGGATGAGTCAACAGTGTAATTATAAATGTAATTACAGAAATTAATTATAGATGTAATTACATGCAGGTATTTTTAAAATATAAGTACAATGTAAAAACATGTATGTACACAATAAGTGCATTGTACCAAATGATTCATTTAAATTTAAGTACATAGTTGTTAAGGCCACTTAATATAAAATGGGTCCTCCTTTAAATATGAAAACGTACTTACAGTTTTTGAGTCAGAACAGCCGGCATTGTAGTCTACTCTCCCAGGATCAGGAAACAGTCCTCCATAAAATGTGCTGCACACATCTGAATATTTGGGTTGAACTGTTCTGAAACAGTGTTGTAAATACAACTCAACCACTGATTTCTAGTTGTGTCCTCTTTTGGAAGTTTTGCGAATATCTTCCTCTTTTGGAAGGCCAAACAAAGTAGTTTAGCTTTCATAAGGAAACACACAGCGCCTTCACGACATGGCGGCGGCAACAATACCACAGCGAGAATAAAAGTGAAGTGACATGTGGCCAAGTATGGTGACCCATACTAGGAATTAGTGCTCTGCATTTAACCCATCCAAAATGCACACACACAGCAGTGAACACACACACCGTGAACACACACCCGGAGCAGTGGGCAGCCATTTATGCTGCGGCGCCCGGGGAGCAGTTGGGGGTTCGGTGCCTTGCTCAAGGGCACCTCAGTCGTGGTATTGAAGGTGGGAGAGAGCACTGTTACGCCTTCTTTCTTTGCATGAACATTTGGGCGGCGTTATGCAAATCTTCCCACATCGTGACGTAGATATGTGGGGGCGTGTTAGAACGAGCCATTTTAGGTAGGCGTGGTTGACTCTTAACTTTTATAAAGAATATCTCTTTGGATTTGAGACTTTAGTCTTTGCAACTTTACAGATCTTCTTTATGCACCAAGAGCTTGTAACACTCCAAAGAGAAAGGAA